AATAAGAAACTAGTATCCAGAATATACAGACTTTCTACAAATCAATAATAATGAGGCAAATTGGCCAATTAAAAACTGAGCCAAAGACTTAAATAGGCACCTCATTAGGAAGATTTTCAAGAGAGTAATAAACATATAAAGTGTATATTCAACCTCACTAGTAATCAAGGAATTGCAAATTGAGCACACGGCAGCGTGACCCACATGTTGATGACAACATGGAACAAGTAAAACTCTCACAAATTCCTGGTGGGAATGAAAAAAATGGAAAAACTTTGAAAAACTTTTTGGAGATTTCTAGTACAGTTAACTGCAGATCCAGCCCCCCCATGAACCGGTAATTCCCCTCCTGTGGGCACGTCCGGGAGAAATGAGTGCACATGTGCACAGATAGACTTGCACAAAAATGCTCAGAGCAGCTCCACCTGTGAGAGCGTAGAGCCTTTCGAAAACAGCCTGAAGCCCGTCCGTGGAAGAAGCAGTAATCAAGCTGTGACACGTCCATTTAATGGACCACTCCCAGCAGTTTAAGAGGAACAAAGTAGGCCTGTGCAGCGACAAGGATGAACGTCACAAACATTACATTGGACAAACCAGGACAGGTTCAGAGGAATTCCCACTGTACGATTCCACTAACAGGATGTTCAAAATAGGTCAAAGGAGTCCAGGGCAGCTGTGGGGCCATGACGCGCCGCATGGGGAAATGCGTTTTAATTGCCTCATTTCTTCTGCAGTGTTTTTCTTCATCGACCTCGTCGCTGTGATTTCATCAATTGAGGACGTGACCTGAGATGGGAACACGTGTCTCTGCCACACAGTTCTCTGCTCACCCTTTGATAGAAGTTCTCCAGAGCAGATCGAGCCAGAGGTGCAGTGGATTCCCCAGTTATTATTCTTGGTCTTATTTATGGTTTTTCTCACTGGCGATCTTATCTGAGGAAGACATGATCTTCACAGGAGAAACCAGCCTGGATTCTCCATGTTTTCCCTCAGACCATCCTTTGAGAGAGGCCAGCAAGTTGATCTTCTAAAATGTAATCCCAGAATACCACATGGGCCTTGATGCACAGGAATAATAAAATGTAGAATGTAATTTAAAGAAAATTAGCATTTAGTTAAATAAGAAATCTGCTTGTTTCTGATGAAACCCTTAGAGATAGCATCTCAAGTAAACTTTATCCCATGCATGAGGGTGCAACGTCTGTTTCATATTTATATTCTAATCTAACAAATTTATAGAAGGCCTGAATTTCACTGAATGATTTATTATGTGTTCTGCCAGCCCTATTTTCAAGCGAAAAGGATCCTAATTGCTAAATTCTATGATATTGCTGCATGGAAAGCCATTAACTTTCTTTTTTTAGTTTTTTCTTAAATTTTTAAAGACTTTTCTTCCATGCAGTCTGTGCTGAAAACTATTACTACAAAAATAAAGCAACAGCAATTCTGAAAACTTCCTGTCATCTTAGTAAGCGTGTGTCACGTCTACAGAGGATGTAGCAGTACAAACCAGTAACTTCTTTCTCAGAATTGTGGGCTGGCACACAGCACACTGGGAGCTGTCACCCTAGAACTTGCAAATAAGGGAAATTAGAACTCCCTTGGCATTTTGCCTAGGGAGCCATATAGATCGACGGAGATGGGGACAGCTACGTCACTGTAGGTCATGTTCACCACCTGCAAGAGGTGATGGCCGTCAGAGAGGACAGAACACATCTCCTGTGAAGGTTTGTGGTGACACTTCAAATACAAGCGTGCTGGGCCAGCCCAAGGTCGTGAGCAATGCATCTGATATCCTGCAGGGTGACACGGGGGGTGGGGGGGGGTGGGACCTGTGAGGGGCTTTGGACTCCCCTGCTGGGGAAGGGAAGCCAACAGGTGCCCTTGTGCTTTGGGAGACAGAGGCAGGTGGGGAGGAGTGGGCTCCCTGAGATGAAGCTGAGGCAGAGGACAGACCACTTCCCAGTGAGCTCTGTGGACGCGGGAACGTCCCGCTCCCCTGTGGACCGCTGCTTCTCAAATGGAAATGGGACGTAATCAGATCATGCACCCAACCCTTTCTCACACAGCTCGGCCCTCGGCACTTAATACATACTCACACGCAGATACTCCCAATGACCAGTCAGCTCTGACTCCAGGCAAACTCTGCTATGAATTTTATTAACCCACCAATGGGGAAGAATGGGCTGATCCACACTTATAAATACTGAGATTTGTTTGATGGTTGTATTACAACTTTAAGGTAATAAACTGTTATTGTGGTTTACACCTTATGTATTTATTGGTTTGTTAGAGACCTTTTCTGAGAAAATGATTCTCTGTAAGTGGAGGGCTGAGATGGAGGTTCTGAGCCCCCACCCTGCCGGGCACAGCGTCCTAACCAGCCCCTCTCCATCCACAGACACGAGCACCAGTCTTTAGGGGGTCTTCCTGGATAACACCCAGAAATAAACCGCAGGAGATCTGCAGTCACCAACTTCCTCAATAGCTACTTGGAATTAAGTGAATAGACAACTCTGAGAACCTGGGTGTGGTATTGATATTTGATCTTATTCTCATTATTGAGAATGAAGTAAAGACAATTTAAATTTCACTAAAGGTAGACAAATAAAATTTCAAATGAGCAACAAAGTCCAGAAAAGCTGTGATATCTTGGGAGGATGTGGTTTGGTGAAACATCAAATGAGAAATTAAATTCCTGTGCTAGATTATGCTGGAAATCCTGATTTTTTTTTTTTTTTTGAGGAAGGTTAGCACTGAGCTAACATCTGCTGCCAATCCTCCTCTTTTTGCTAAGGAAGACTGGCCCTGAGCTAACATCTGTGCCCATCTTCCTCTACTTTATATGTGAGATGCCTGCCACAGCATGGCTTGATGAGCAGTGTGTAGGTCCACACCCAGGATCCAAACCTGCAAACCTCAGGCTGGCAAAGTGGAGTGCGTGAACTTAACAGCTATGCCACCGGGCCAGCCTCCAAAGGCTGACATTTTATTTGCATTGCAGCCCATCTTTTATTTTTCTCATCAAAGTAGGTAAAAAAATAAGTTATTAAAATCAAGCCCAAATTTCTCTTATTTCACAATTGAGAAATAAATGGTGTTTTGAGAAAAGCAGCCTTTTCAAAAATGTGTGTACTATGCTTATTAAATTAATCTCCCATAATTAACAACTACAATTATTTGTATTAGCTTAAAAAATCAAGCCACAGACTCTGAGGCTACTTTTAATCAAGGGTTTCTATGCAAATAAATGTCTTCCAAAATGCATATATATATATATATAGTAGCTGCAACTGAGTGCAGTGAAGAGCAGGTGAGAGGAGGAGAGAGCTATCTGGGTGTACAGAGAGCTCCGGTTGTGGGTCTGACCACACACGAGAGACTCCCCGTGGAGAATAACTCCTCCAGTCCTGGAGAGCATGCCTGGCGGCTGACGACTGCGGCTGACGTCTGTCCTGACAGTGTGCCAGCTTTGAAGAACTTCTCCGACTTGTAGGAATGCTGCCTGAAGTCAGTCCTCAGCAGAACAGGAGACACTGACTCTAGAAACAGGTTCAAAACTTCACAGACGCTCCAAGAAGCAGCTGCAGGAGAAGTAGAGCAGATTCCACTCCAAGATGTGAGGACAGTTTCCATCCTCTGCGTTTTCAAAGTAAGAAGGCTATTTCTGAGTTTTCAAATTCTTTAAGATCACAGCACAATTGCACTGCCAAGTTCAGGAGGACAGATGCTGATGTAGAATCATATCTGAGATTTCATGTTAAAACACCTTGAAAATTCATGGATTTACCATGAACTAACCCAGCATGAAAACTGAGATGTAAATGGGGTCGGTAGACGTTTTAGTCAACAAAAAAACAAGGTGTAAGAAGCAAAATGACATTGTCTATGAATTTTCAAGAATTTCATATCTTATGTAAATTTACTCTTAACTACAAAAAACTCTCTCTACATCCGTTGTTTAAGTTTGTCCATATGATCACAATGAGGATATCTGATGCAGTGTCCTAGGCATAGAAATCTCAATAAATCTCTCCAATTAAATAAAATAGTTGAAAAAAGCAAAAACAAATACACAGAAAATACTAAAAATTGTGTTTGTCAAATGTGACTATAAGCTTAATCTTTTGGCTAGAAGAAGCTGATAAGACTTGATTGATTAAGTAATGAAAATGAGTAGGACTCCTAGGAATTTAGCTCAAACCTGTACCTCTGATACTCCAGGAATAGTTTGTGATTATTTTCATTTACTGGAGTTGGCAATAACTAGCGTCCTTATGTGTATGAAGTGTGTGGGGTGGCCACAGAAGGGCTGATTCCACTGTCTGATTGAACCCCGAATCAGAATAAAGTTGTTTGTGGACAACACAACCCACAGTGAACCCCAGGGCCCCCACCGCAGCAGAGACGCTGCTCCAGGCCTGCGGGAGGAACAGCGAGTAGAGAAGGAGGCCCACGTGGTTTGTTTGCAACCCGGGAGGCTGTGCCGGGGTCAGGCGGAGGTCAGGGCGGGGCACGAGAGGGGATGAGGATGTCAGACGAGGGCCACTGGCTCCTGTCTCCCTCTATTTCTGTTTCGGGGGCTCCCTGGGCAGAGGCGTCTCTGCACCTGGAAGCAAAGACAGCAGCAGGTGCGAACAGCTGACCACCACGCTTTGCACTGGACACAGAGTGGCCAGAGTGTGCGCACACCAGGTACCGCTTGGGAGCAAGTCCTGGGCGGGCTTGGTGCCCTGAGCCGCCAGGCATTTGTGTGCTGTCCTCCCCCACATCTTCCTCGTCCGTGAAGTGGGGGAAGTCACCTGTTGGCAGGTGCCATGAGGATAAGATCAAGCAGGAAGTGCCCGGCCCGGCGCCTGGAGCCACAGGTGCCCGATGGGCCGACAGCAGCGTGGTTGGGGAGTTACGGGTGCCGCTATCCTTGTTTTATCGTCTCCTTTTCTCTGGAGCTGCCCCCACCGGAGCCGTGTGATTGGGATGGCCCTGAGGGCAGCACTCACCCACAAAGAGCTGGCTGTTGAGCTGCAGGAGCATGTGCCCGTCCTCGGGGGCAGCGCGCGTCCCGCGTGGGAGCCAGTCCACCTGCAGCGATGCCTCCTTCACGTTCCTTTCAGCTCGAACCAGGTGCCACCGGTTGTCATTGAGGGGAGTGGGTGCCTGCACGGTGACCTCGCAGGGCCCGTTTCCCACATCGAAGGAGAAGGTCACCTCCACCGGAGCTGGAATCAGACGAGAGAGAATGAAGTTATGTCCCCAGGGAGAGCATCCGCCGGGAACAGCCCGAGTGTCTGACACCCACGTGGATTAATGTCAATGCAGGAAATGATCTTCTGAGGGAGGTTGGAGGGGCAAAGTTATCTTATATTTGGGAAAATACTGATTTAAAGAATTTAAGCTCAGAATGTGCTATTCATTTTGATACGTACTGAATTGAAAAGATAATTTCCCATGCAGAGACACCATAAAGACCTGGATTTGCATGCGGAATTTAGTCTAGAACTTCATATGCTTCTACAAGCAAGCCGCGGGGGCGTGGACCACGTGTTATGGGCTTGCACAATGAGAGTGTTTGGGCAATCAGTGAGCACTTCATGGAAGAGCTAGTCAAATTTAAAGCCCTGTTTACACCCAGCGAAACGCTTCCTAAATTGGGCCTGTGAAGACGGGTTCTTCCTGTCTGCTTTCAAGTGTGTTATCAGCCTCATGCAGTTTATCTTACAGCTGCTTCGTGGAATTCACAGAATCTTAGAAATGAGTGAAGAGACGGCCCTGGCTGGTGCAGGAGGCATAGAGCACTTTAGACAGGGGACCATCTCTAGGGCTCTTTGTCCAATAATGACCACCCCAGGGAATTTTCTGGAAACTTACAGCGCAGTTCGAGGCTGATGAAGTCTGTGATCCCCAGGTTCTCTAAAAACACCCCGGACGAAGCCATCGTCTTGAAAAAGAAAGACACGTCGGCGCTGAGCTCTCCGTGGAAAGTAGGGAAGTGAAGGTATGAAGCCTCAGTGTGGAAGGAGGCCGAATTCCAGAACAATCCTTGTGGGAAAGGAGGGAAAACGTCAGAAAACAAGCTCATGACAGTAGAGGAAAGGTTGCTGTCAAGGGTGGGCAAACCCTGGGGGACGTGTTCGTCTCCTGTGTGACCTTCTCCTGACATACCTTACGGGACCCTGAATGGAAACCTGACGATCTTAGGAGAATCGGGAGCGTGGGGTCAACCAAGAGCGCCCTCCATCATCGTGGGGAAAGGGACCCCGGGCAACAGCGTTCCCTTCACATCATCTAGGAGGAAATGGCTTTGCTCCGATAATGTCCCACCACGCTTTTATTATCACACCTTAATTTACTCATCATTTTAAATTTTAGGCATCCACATAACTTTGAATTAAGCAAAATCCTGCAGAAATCCAAAGGCTTGCCCATCCTAACCTACCAATCCAGACAGGTCAAAGGGCCCATCCCTCAGTCAAGGCCACTTCCACAGGGTGGGAGCTCCCACCCTAACTGGGGCCAGGAGGTGGCACATCCTCTTCGAAAGCAGAGACCAACCAGGAGAACAGGAATCTCAAGTTACCATGACGTTCTCACGGCCACACTAGCATGTTGCCACTGTTCCTTACACAGGCGGGTTGGGAAGTTGTCACATTGCTCACACTGGTTTCTGCTGGTGTCACTTCATATTGCTCAAAATCAGTGAAAAATAAATGCCTTAAAACATCTAAAGTTTCTCAAATTGAAAAAAGCACCTTCCCAAAGATTAGCAAATTAATTGAAATGAAATTTAAAAAGACGTCTGATCATGTGACAGAGGTGAGTTTACAGGACTGTCCCACTACAGCTTTAGTCTGCCCTTCACTCTGTTCTTGGCTGTCCACAGCTTCCCTTTGGAGAAGATGCTGTGAGCTGTCCTGCATCTGGCTGGATGCTGGATTGCACAGAACAAACTGATGCAGCATGGTGAAATGTGACCTGTCCCCAAGGAGTCGGTGTCGACCGGTCAGTGAGCTGTGCCATCCTGGGCTCTGAAAGGGGCTGGCGTTGCCACCAAAGTCGTAGGGGCATGCATCGGAAATACAGATCTTTAATTTACGCAGCACACTGCATATAATTGACAATATTTGATAACATCCTCACATCTAAATTGCTTTTCCTGAAGAATGAGTTTATGCACTGGGGTCAGAAAACAGTGACCCCAGATACCCCTCCACTCTATTATCAGAGGACAGATGCCACCACGGGCTCGCCTCTGCGCTGAGCCATGCGTGCATCTGCATTGATTTTCTGTCATGTGAAAGCTCAAGAGCATTGCTTGTCTGCTTTCCAGCTTTCTCTGGTGGGGGCCCAAATCAAGGAGTCAATTTGCAGGTTTTCCTACGGCTCTTATGCGGCCAACAGCTCCTTTGGCTGTGTTTCCCCTGGAGAATACATTTTGAAGATGTTTTACTGCTCTCTGTCTGGAGCATAACATCTTAGTTTCCTCTTTCCAGCTCTTCCTGCGCTCGTCTGTCCTAGGGACCCAGCGAAGCAGGCTATGCCAGATGCTGACAGGATAACTTCTCGTCTGTGGTCCTGGGGTCCCTGCAGCCACATGTGGAAGGACCACAATGCTCTTCTAGTTGAACTGTTACAGAAAAAGCTTGAATTAAGATGGCATTAAAGAGAAAATAAGCGACTCCTCCCCAAAATGGGCTGACTGGTCATCAGGAAACTTTGGGCTCCTTAAAAACCCAAATTGGAGAAAAAAAATTCTAAAGGTCTATTTCATTTCAATTTTATAAGTAGACCGAAGAGGAAGCTCTGCGACTGGTTTAAATGAGCAGATTAGAACCTGTTTCCCATGGGCTGCCCGTCTAGACCATGACCACGTCTAGGGGTGACACCACTTGTCCCCCACTTGCTGAAGCCTTCTGACTAATGTCGGCTCTGACCGGTCACCAAGTCATCAGTGGAACTGGGTGGGTGACCAGGAGGGTGAGCACCACTGCAGTCACCTGCACCCTCAGGGACACCCAGTCCTCTGGGGGCCTCGAGGGAGGAGGGGGAGATCCAGGGGTGGGGGTTCCTGGGTGCCCCGGTTTCCCTGGAGAGAGGGCTCCAGGGCCACGCCATGTGGAGCCGTGAGCTCCAGGTGCCGAGGTGAACGTGCGCTGCTGTGTCACTGGGAGAAGATAAAGACCAACTTCACCTGTCAGGAGAGAGTGACAGTTTCAAATGACCCTTAAAGGTCGAAGTTGATAACAGGCCTGCTTGAAGGCGACCTTTGTTTCCTGTGCATGTGCTTGTGTGTATGTTACAAAATGGTTACATAATCCAAATAGTTATTTACATAGTAGAGGGAGAAGCAGTATCATGTATATAACATGTATATAAACTATATATACATTGTAGTGCTTGGTATATACATTACATGTATAGTCTATGTATGTATACAGTATGTATATATGTGGTGTATGTATTGTGTACACATTGTGTGTACATACATAAACATATAAAGGGAGATAAATAGATAGACAGACACACGGATAGACATTGCCCACGTAGGGAAATGAATTTCATTAGCCTGACCGGAGTAAGGGCGATTTTGTAAATATTTTATTTTCTAAACTTTTCTTTGACCCATTAATACATTATCTTAATAATAAATTAATTGTCGTTTAAAAAGGAACAGAGATCATGTTAAAGGCACATTACTTTACAAAAGAAGGATGTTTGCTTCCAAAATCAAACATACACAAAAGATAAACAATCTGCTTTTTTAAGACTGGGAGTAGAAATTATGAAAATGCTAGGATGAGAACTGTTTCTTTAGTCAAATTCATCTTTCTGAGCATTAAGAAAACGAACTGGTGAGCGTGGCTTTTTAACAAAGAGAGAACCCGAGGTGGCTGTGACTCCTGTTCTGAGAAGGTTGAAGACTGAGGCACCAATCCTTCATGTCTGCGGTTCCTCTTTTGAAATTCCTAATGCTGTTTTCAAATATTTTGGAAAATAATAATTGGGATCAAATATAAAGCAAAATTGAAATGAAAATGATGGACTATGCTGGATATAATTACAGTTTTTGTTTCATAGCTCAGCTGGAAGGGAACAAAGCTATTCATATATGTTTCCATAGAAAATCCACTACCTCGCACCGAGGCACACGCGGCATGAATTGGTATGGCAAACAGAAAGTGATAATTATTCCTCAGAGTCATTCATACGACAAACAGCCTTAGAAGCCACCTCAGAGAAAAGGCATTCATGGGTCTTCACTGCTCATATTGCTTCCGGATTTGTGCACAACTATTCCGATATTTGGAGCTCCTACAAAATTATTAATATTCCAAAGACACACACAGATGCTTTCAGGGTCTAGAGCATAGTGACACACGTTGTGCTTTTTCTCAGTATTGCTGTTTATTCTTATAGACACTTAGAATCAGAGGTCCGCAGGAAGTGGAAGGAAGTAACTGGACTCAGAGGTCTGAGTAGCTCTCCCACCTTATTCTGGTGCTAGATAAGGAATTAGTGAGTGATGGTTTTTAGTTTTCTGCATGCACCACTTCTGCGACTTCTCACGCATCTCAGACTGAAGTGGATGCAGCTGTGGGGTTGGGTGCAGCGTGGGAGCTGGATTTGGCACTGGAGGAATTGAGACGACCAAGTCGGATGGTCATTCCTGCCTTCCTGCGTGGTCCGCAGCAGCTCTGCTCAGGGAGCCTCCTCCTCCCTAGGCACTGCCCCGTCTCTTCGGTTTCCTCCTCCTCTCAGGCTCTGTCTGCCCAGAAATCCTGGACCATCGCCCACCTCCTGACCTCTGAACCCCAGGACTCTGTCCTTGACTTTTTCCCTTCTCTCTGGACACTCACTCGCCTGGAGACCTCTCCTCTGATGACTCCTGTAGACGGCGGGCAGCCTCTCCCCAGGATGCCACGTGAGCAGGTCCAGTCTCCTCCCTCTCATCTCTGAGACCAAGTTCATCTCACAAGCATCTGGATCAGTGTGCTCAAACCTGAGCTCTTCATATCGGTCCCCCAGCTGATAAAAGCCCATTTCATTAACGGCGGCTCCATTCTCTGTCACTTGGACCAAACGCCTGGCGTTATCTTGAGTCTGCTCATAACTCACATCGATCTGCCGTTTAAACTCTTTTGCCTTCACCTTCAGATAAATCTCAACCCAGCTCTCACTACCCCCAGCGCCCTGGGTTCAGTCAGTGCTGGCTCCCGGGCCAGGAACTCCACACTCTATTCCCCCTGCTTGGAACACCCTTCCTCGTGCTTCCAGTGTGTGTCCGGGAGTCCTGTGGGGTTTCACCCAGATGGTACCTTCCAGGGAAGACTCCACAGCCCCTCACCTTCCTCCATCTTCTCCCTACTTAGTCTACGGCTACCTACGTGTGCGCACAGACATGCTTCTTCATTTTATGTGGCCCTGGGAGGACGGTGCTGTCCCTTTGTCTTGCCCCCTGCTGCATCACTGGAGGCACTCAATAAGCATTTGCCCAAATGTCCTGACAATATTTCCTCTTTTCTTTAGCCAAAGAGAAGGTAGGACACTCCTTTCATTTTGGTTTCATAATTCATCTTCCTATAATCCTGACCACGTTATTTGTGGAAACAGAAGTAGGAGGTAGAGAGGGGAGAAAGGGGAGATGGAGGGAGAGGAGGAGAGAAAGGGGGTGGAGGGTGGGGCAGTCAGGGAGGTTGAAGAAAAGAAAGAATACTGTAGCAATTTCAAAATGGTGGGCATTACGAGGTCCCGGGTGGAATCGACACCAGAGAAATCTGTTCAGGGCTATTGTCTGGGGGTCTTTGAAAATGGGAGTGATCCACCTTCGTCTGAAGTGGTTTTGATGTGGCAGAGCCAAATGCAGGAGAAATTAATGAAATTGTCTACGAGTCCTCTGCCCTGGGGCTGTGCGCACCTCAGACGGCAATGCACTCTGGAGCTCTGGCTCCCCACTGCACACAGAATGAAAGAACCAATTTCAGTGGCCCAACTATGGCTTTTCAGACCACAGGACACTTCTTAGAGCAGTTTTCCAACTGCACGTCTTTGGCAGGAGCAGCAAGACAGATGCTTAAATTCAAAATTTTAATGGAATAACCTATCTGAAAAGAAACACAGTGAATAAAATGGGTTGCAGAATTCAAATGTCAAAGATTTAAAAGGGCTTTGCGGTTCAGATCCTCGAATGGAAAGTGCACCTGAGAAATACCTCCTTCCACACGTGAAATGTTCCCACACAGACTTTTGGGTGAAGACGGTGCCATGAAGAGCATTTACAGAATTTACCTCTCCCCACAATTGATGGCATGAAGAACAATGAGCAAAATTAAAAAGTGCCGTTGGCAGCAAACATAACTCTCACAAGTTTGTTTTGAACCCCAGTGCGGGTCCTGACCTGATTTCCAGCTGACATCCAGCCTCTGTCTGACGGGCTGTGGGTTGTTCTGGCAGGTCAGTTCCAGCCTGCGATGGTTCTTAAACAAGATGAATGTCATCCCTGTCTGCACCCACAGACTAAGACCCTAATCGGGAAATGGAATCAAAATTCTCCCAAGAATAATCCTGAACCTGGAGAAGTGGGGGCTGCTGGCAGCCAAGAAAGAGGAAAGAGCCAAGTAAAATCTTGGAGAAAAGTCCACCCCAGAATCAGCATGTGACTTCTGCACTCAGCAGTCTTGGGTCACTGCTGTATGGGGGCAGACCCGGAGCCCGAGGGCGAGCAGCAGAGGGTCTTACTGCCCGCTCTCTGTGCCTCAGGCTGCAGATCCCTCCCTCCACCTGCACCACAGATGGCGGAGGGGGTCACAATTGAACGAGAATTGGGTAAAAATCGGGGGTGATGCTGGGGGCGGGGGGCAAGCTGGTATCCACATCTGTTTGTGCACCCCACCTCTGCCTGAGCTTCGCAAACTACAGCATAGCGCACACCTTCTGGAGTTCCCGTGGTTTCCAAAACACACCTGCTCTTCCAAATACCAATAGCAACGGCAACAACATAAACTCGAGCACAGTTTTAATTTAGAATAATATTTCCTCTATTTTCATTTCAAGTTTTGGTCAAAGACTTGGAATAGAAAATCTGTGAGAAGGGTTGATGATCGAGGGGACAGACATGGTGAGGAGCATCAGAAGTCACGTGGTGTCAGAGGCACACCTGATGGGACACGCCCCCTGTGTCATCCCAGTGGGAAGAGGTCACGGAGACAGTCTGATGGAAATGTACAGTTGCATAAAAACTGCCATTTGCATTTGTAAAATGCTGCTTTAGAGCGCAGACATGGTGACCGGACGCCACGGCAGGGGCCATCGCTTCAGAGAGAAAGGAGAGCGAGAGCTGAGAGGTGAAGGAGAGAGAGAAAGCTCGCACCGTCCCATCAGTTTGCTTGTTTCCAGCTGATGTTCTGATTTCAGCCATTCGTGCCCGCTGGAAAGCCGAGGCTCACAGTGTTCCGTGGATCTGCGGTTCTCTTACTGGGCCATGGAGATGGAACAGGGTGTCTGTGCACCTGACGGCACCCGCGGGCTCTCTGGAAACTTCTCCTCCCAGGGCACTTGACCTGCTCTAGTGGACAGGGCTGTGGTGTCTCCAAGTGGCTGGAAGACTTTCTCAAAGGCTCTTGTGTTGCATTTCACAGCAAAGTAAATATTTCACCAAATATTGAATAACAGCGACACAGCATCAATCGATTTCCTAATTTTAGAAAGGGACGTAATCTCTCTTTTTTCATCAACCCCTGATGGAGCACGGGTCTCCAGGTGCAGGGTGCTGTTTTAGACCCTGCAGCCCCCTTGCCGTCCACACTGACTGGCCGCTGATGGAAAAGAAGAGTTCAGGGAGCTACTTACGGTCCCCCTGGCACAGCAGAGGCCCCAGCCTGTAGGCAGCCTCGGAGCTCGGGTGGGCCGTGTCTGTGACCACGATTCGCATCACGGGCAGGTGCTCCTTGTAGGAGAGCACACCTGTGTCATTGGTCCTGTGGGAGAAACACCTGTTAACAGCGTGTGGGACCAGTGGAATGGGCTCCACATGCCTACCTGCCAGGGAGGGTGGGTCGCCCACCAGACACCCACATGTAACACGGTTTGTGGGCCCATTCCAAGCACAGACTGGCATCCACTGACTGACCTCAGAGGAGGCTGGTGGCAGATTTAGAAGCGAGGTCATCGGGCCAGCCCGAGGTCACGCTTCAACCTAAACGGCCGACTGCTCTTCTCAGTATGGTACCAGCACGGGATTTAAATGCAGTATTTATGCATTCATGCGTTACTAAGTGTCCTGTGGGTGAACCCTGCAGTGGTGAAGTTAAATATTAATATACAATATTCTTTATAATATATAAATGTAAACATAGTTTTTTGCTCAGAATTTTATTTTCGTCGTTTAGAAAAGCTAAGTTTTTCGCTGTCCCTCCTTATTGATTTTATAATTAAAAAAACTTATTTGAAATCAGGCTGGGAATAAAATTCAGTGCAATATTCCCTGAACTTTGGTCAGTTGGTGGGATGTGGGAAGGTGTCCTCCCACACGCCTGCAGGAGAACTGGCCACACATGTAACCCCGGCCCTCAGTTACCAGGAGATGCACTGCCGTCCGTGCGGCTCTGTAGGAGAGCGTTTGGTGGAAACACATCAACACCTCTGGGAAAAGTGCAAGCAGGGCTTGGAGGGGCCGCTGGCCTGGCGCACACCCACTCCACTTGGGCCAGTTTCCACTTCTCTGAAACAAGGGGTTGTTTACACTTTTTGCAACATCCTCATGTATTTCTGGGGCACTTCAACTTCATGTGGATTTCTGATTTGACCTTCTAATATCCTGACTCTGTGGGGACTGGGTGAGCACTAATTTCTATCCTTTATACACCTGCTAATCACGCCTCTGTCCAGACTTGGAAAAAAGAGTCGAGTTCCTAGACACGCTGTCATTCCTACTTTTTGTGCAATTAAAAGTTCTCTATTTACCAGAAATAAAAAGTTATCAAAGATAAATTAAGCATTTACTTTTAGATCAAACTACAATAGAAATTGTTATTTAAATTTGTCTTCCTCTGTTAAAAACAATCCTGTAGCTGTACGCAGTGTGTATCCTGAGACACGAAGAAATCAATATTAAATCTGAACAGTGAGACATAGTCTACTGGAGGAACCGGATTATTTGCCAAAGTTAGCCTCAACGATCCTCTGCTTCACCTAGTTAAGCTTCTACTTTTTTTTTTTTCTAAGATTGGCATCTGAGCTAACATCTGCTGCCAATCTTATTCTTTTTTTTCTTCTTCTCCCCAAAGCCCCCCAGTACATAGCTGTATATTCTACCTGTGAGTGCCTCTGGTTGTGCTATGTGGGATGCCACCTCAGTGTGGCCTGACAAGTGGTGCCACATCCGCACCCAGGATCTGAACCAGCGAAATCCTGGGCTGCTGAAGCAGAGCGTGTGAACTTAACCACTTGGCCACAGGGCCAGCCCCTAAGCTTCTATTTCTTTTCTTTTCTTTTTTTTTCTGCCAGGGAAGATTCACCCTGAGCTAACATCCATTGCCAATCTTTTTCTCTTTTGTATGTGGGGCACTGCTACAGCAAGGCCACTGACAAGTGGTGGTGTAGGTCTGTGCCTGGGAACTGAACCTGGGCCTCCAAAGCAGAGCACACAGAACTAAACCACTAGGCCACCAGGGCTGGCCCAAGCTTCTATTTCTTTATGACAAAGAAGAAGATACATCTTGGATTTCCCAGACCCATTAAACTTGACATTGGGATAAACAGAGAGTAGACAGGGAGAACCATGGCGTATGGATGTGTATGATGTGTGATCAGTCAGCCGGGGCATTAACGTGATAGAAAGCAATCACATTAATGACTGTCCTCGACCGTCATCTCTGCGGACGGCACAAACCCTCACGCCTGTCGAGACAGAGCACACTTCAGGGAAATGCAGGTGTTGTACTTATCTTTATGGGTCTGTGAATTTTTAAAGATCTATTTTTCAGAAACCACGGCTGTTTACTGAGGCTCTAACATTAGCAATATTTCCAGAGTGTTGAGAATACTCAACAACTGTCTCAGTGTGTCGCTGTGTGTTAAGAAAGATAACGAAGTAAGTTTCTGTTCCGTGCGGTTTGAAAACCATGTTCTTGCCTAATTGAGGGAAGATGGCCTTCACCAGTGTGGTGTGAGTGCACGTGGCTCCAGGGCCCCGTCTTATTCGGGTGAGTGTAGACTCCTACAGACCTGCCTAGCTAAGAGGTGCTCAGGGTTTTTCCGTGTTTTCTCTGTTTCTCTCAAAGCGTCCACTGCGATGCAAATTTAGAAACAGTGCATTTGCCACATGCTCTCACGGACCTCAAGAATTCAATAAGAGAACTTTTAAACTTCATTTTTAGGAACTCCTAAAACTATGGAAATGATACTTATGACTTTCCAAGAAAGTGTAAAATTCTCATTGTTTTGAGAGGACTTTTGGTTCACAAAGTGTGGCTCAGGATAGTTTCAGAAATTGGGAAGGAAGAGGGGAGAGATGCTGAGCCAGCTCTAATATTAGCCACGGTTTTGGGGAGAACTGAAGTGTTCCCATTGCCTGCAAGATCACTGAGAACAACTTTTATGACTAAATGTGGAGACAGTTCCAAATGAATGGAGAGATAGATGTTGACCTTCTTATAACAATTTAAGTTACAGAAAAAAAGTTATCACTAAAATCTTGCTTAGTCATTTACATTTTTTTACCATATTAGAGATAAATCAGACATTGAAAATGGCTTAAATAACAATGCAATAAACACCAATGTACCCATCTAAGTTTAAGAACTGAAATATCACGAGTGGAAAGGAAGAAACAAAACTGTAATTAATTATGGATGAAATGATTATGTGTGCAGAAAATCCAAAAGAATCTACAGGATAACTATTAAGATTAAAAATACAAGTCTAGTAGGGCCACCAGACACAAGGCCAATTATACAGAAGTCAATTGTTTTTCTATGTACCCGGAACACAAAATGAAAATGAAAGGTAAAATGATACAATTCACAATAACATCAAAGATATAAAATCTCTAGGGATAAAACTAATGAAAGGTACTTAAGACTTTGCTACTGACTGCTATAAAATACTTATGAGAAAAATTAGAGTTGGAAAGCTCCTTAACGTAAAAACGTCCACCCCTCTAAATTTATCTGAAGTGTTGACGCCATCCCCAACCAGTGTCGATGGCAGCAGTGGCAGCTGTGTCCTTCTACAAGATCAAGACCAGGGATGAACGAGGATCCCTGCAGACACCTGTCACCTGGAAGCTGGAGGACAGGACGCATGTGTACGAGTCGTCTATAAACAGAACATGGAGAAGACAAGGGAGCCCTTGGCCCAACTCTGTCCCAGATGCTGGCAGAGAACAAGGGCAGTTTGGAGAAAGAACATGAAAGAGAAGAGGGAAGCTAGATGTGAACCTAAGAGTTGTCCAAAACCACAGCCAGAGACAGGGGAAGTCCACCCCAAGTGTGAAAATACTGGACACGTGGACACAGAGCACTGGCTACAGGGAGAGGGGGTACATAACACACGCAGGACTCAGGGAGGCAAGCTTGCCGAGGAAACGCTTTGGGCAGGAGGGTTAGGAGGAAGGAGGAGACGCCCCCATGGAAACCGTGTGGTGTGATGGAAAAGAAGGAAGCGCAGAGCGTAGGGTCCTGGAAGGAGAAAGAAATCAAGAAAAATGGCAGTGGACACGCAGCCCTCCCCTCACACGGCACTCTCAATGCAGGGGGTGGAGGGTCATCCTTGAGAAAGCTGCTAACCGGAGGGGGTGCTTGGACCTCGGAGAATGTAAATTATTGCCAACGCCAGCCTCGCCCTCAGAAAGCCAAACGGACCATCTTTATAAATACAAATCTACTATCAAACAAAGCAAAACAAAATGAAAACAGCAATGGGGTGAACCCCCGAAAAAAACCTCCAGGGAAGTGAATAAAACTATAACAGACCCTCCAAACTAAACTAAATATCCTCAAACAAGTAGGAGAAGGTGTGCCAACATACTGTGGATCAGAAATTCAAAAATTAAGAACAAAAATGGAAGACCATGAGGAGGAAAGGAAACAAGAGTTGATGGAAATTAAGGAATAAATATAAAAACCCTATAAAATCATACAAGAATGAGGAATAATTACAACATGCCAGTGAGACAATAGATTCAGGCAAAAACGTAATAAAGGTCATTGCAGAAAATCCACAAAACAACTCAAAGAATGAAAATCTGATAAAGAAAAGAGTAAAGTGGATCAGAATGTTGAAATGGAAGGAAGACAAAGAAAATCCAATGTCTACGTAATCGGAGGCCCTTAAGAGGAAACACAAAACAACGAAACAATGAAACCATAACATATTCACAACTGGAATCCAGTAAATCTTCCTGAAGGGAGAGGGAGCCCGAGGCTGTGTATGAAGGGACGCAGAAGCACCGGAGAAAACGTCCCGCCACTGTCACCCCAGGATGCGTCCTGGTGACAGCACGGGACTTTACACACAAGGAAAAATCACCAGCGCTTTGAGGCAAAAAGGTGAAATAACGAACAAGGGCATCAGATTTCTTAAAAGTAATGTGCAAGTCAAGGTACCAGGAGGATATCGTTTTCAAAATATTCAAGGAAATGTGGAACCACGGGTTTCCTCTCCAGCCAAGTGTCCTTTAAGTATGGAGGTTGCAGAATAAGTACCAGCATTCACAGACCGGGGATCGATCGTCAGAGGCATCCACTGTGCTCTTGAAGCATCTCCTGCAACACGCACATCAGCCAAACCAGAGGAAACGGGGAACCTCAGCAGAAACGATGATGATGGAGCCTTATTATGTTCAACTGCAGGCCTGAGGCTGAAATGATGGTGAGGACGACAATGGGCATTTCACATGACGCAGGCTGTACATCGTTAGGGCTGTTTTCTGACGAGACAGGAACGATGTGGAGGGTAGGAGGGGAGAGAGGGGGAG